AACCTAGAGCCCTCCCCTGCACCACAAACCCCTCATCCCTGGGCCCACCCCAGAGCCTGCACCCCCCGCTGGAACCCTCACCCCCCCCTTCACTCTAACCACCTGCCCCAGCCCAGAGCCCATCCCACAACCTAAACTCCTTATACCCGGCCCCACCCCAGAGCCCGAACCCCCAGTTAGAGTCCTCTCCCTCCCTGCACCCGAACCCCCTGCCCCAGCCCATTGAAAGTGAGTGAGGGTGGGGGAGAGCGAGCCACCGAGGGAGGGGAAATATAGTGAGCGGGGGCAGGGCCTCTGGGAAGAAGCAGGGTGGGTTGGTGGGGCCTCGGGGAAGGAGTGGGGCTAGGGTGTTCGGTTTTGTACAATTAGAAAGTTGGCAACCCTAACTGACACCCAGCGAGCCCGGGATGGGCAGGGGCCGGTCCTGGGTGACGGGGTCATGGGGAGCCTGTCAGGGCCAGATCTTGGTCTGCTTTGGGACTGCCGGGGCGTCAAAGCCCCAAGCCCATGATCATGTGGGGACCCTGCAGGGTGAATAGGATAGCAGCTGGCCTGTCCTAGATCCCCCTGAGCCCAGCCAGCTCGGTCTGCTCCAGATCCCCCTCTAACAGGATAAATCCAGGGATCAGAGGATTACCAGTTGAGCTGGTGAGAAAGCCCCAGGTCAGACAGACACAGGGACAAATGCACCCTCGGGCACAGAGAGTGACACAAACACAAGCATTTGACAAAGCGCACACCCCCACAGAGTGCTGTACACACACACACACACACACACACACACACACACACACACACACACTACACTACATAAACACACACACACACACACACACACACATATTCTTACAAACACATTCACTGACACATCCATACAAACATATCCAGATGCACCCTGCGCGTGCACTCACACACACACACTCCCAGCCCCTCTACACAGATGCATACACACTACATGCACAGACCCCATACATATACATGCATTCAGTCTAGCCAGGCAGGGCTAGTTGACACTAGAAAGGCTGTGCCAGCATAGCTGTACTGGCAGAGCCCCCTAGTGGAGCTGTGGTAAATAGCGACCTTCTGGCAAAAGGTCTCTTCTATCAGCATCTGCCCAGGGGCTTTTGCCAGCACAGGTCTGTGAGTCAGAGGTGTGATTTTCCACACCCCTCTGAGCAACACAGTTATGCTGGCAAACCTTTGCAATGTAGACCTGGCCTCTCTGAGACACACACACTTTATGTACACACACATTTTACATCCCAACGTGCATTTCCTCATGCAGACGTGCATGAACCTTATACACACATGCATGCACTATACACAGACACACTCACTGCGCAGACACATTGTCTCTCTCTCACACACACAGATACACACAACTCTGTGTATCAGTACTTGACTGGCACTACAATCTACATATACAAATGGTTATTCAACAATGACACCAAGGGCAGGTTGCCTGATGACCACACACACTCATACAGGAACACATGCACAACCATACTCAGTGTGCTGGGGTGTTCATGCCACTCCTCACCTGAAAGGGATAAGGTAGCTGTGGAGGGTCTCATTAACCTGCTAGGCTGCTCCTGGGGGAGAACCAGGCTGGCTAAGCAAGGGCCGCAGAGCAGGTACAGGCCAGGCTGGTACAAAGCCAGTAAGCTGAGAACAGAAAGGGGCTGCAGGGGAAGTAGTCTGCAGTCACTACCTGGGAGGAGGGAGTTTGGACTGGAAAACCCAGGGAGAAGGGAGACAGAAGATAGAGCACAGAGATGGGAAGGCACCCAGGGAAACAGAAACAGGGTCTGAGATGGAGCAGACCATAGTTGCTGGAGAGAGGGGTAACTAGGCTGGAACCAGAAGCAGTGGGTGGGCCTGGGTTCCCCTACCTGTCCAGAGTGGCATGAGGACAGCTGATCCATTGGTACTGTGATACCCCCAGGGGAGAAACACAGAGAGTGGCCAGGCTGGAGGGCTAAGTCCCGAAGAGGGAGCACAGTGAGAGGGGCCATGGGGACAGCACATGATGGAAGGGGGACCAGACTTGTATGGAGTAAATCCCC